GGGATAGTAGACTTTCGGTCTTTCCTCGTCTGTTGTCGGTCTTTTCGGTGTGACTGGGGTTTCAGTCACACCGTAAACCAACCGATCTGCGGCCATTCGGGATAGTAGACTTTCGGTCTTTCCTCGTCTGTTGTCGGTCTTTTCGGTGTGACTGGGGTTTCAGTCACACCGTAAACCAACCGATCTGCGGTCATTCGGGATAGTAGACTTTCGGTCTTTCCTCGTCTGTTGTCGGTCTTTTCGGTGTGACTGGGGTATCAGTCACACCGTAAACCGACCGATCTGTGGCCCTTAAGGATAGTAGACTTTCAGTCTTTCCTCGTCTGTTGTCGGTCTTTTCGGTGTGACTGGGGTATCAGTCACACTTATTTTAGGGAGGGGCGGTAGTGAGCAAGCGAATCACCTATAGAGCGTGTGAAGCCCGCTCGCTAGGGAGGGGTTGGTGAAAGGCATCCCGCGCGAAGCGCGAAAGTTTTGACTTTCATTATTTAAGTTATTATAAAAAGAAGACAATTTGTGTAACGTTCTCTACTCTTAAACCCTGATTGTCTGAATTCGGTTTCTCCCCCTCCCGCACGAAGCGCGGAAGCTTTTGACGTTTCATTAAATTATGAGAGAAAGAAGGCGATTCGTTATACCGTTTTCGACTCTTAATAAGCCCTAATCGTCTGAATTCAGTTTCCCCCTCTCGCGCGAAGCGCGGAAGCTTTGACATTTCCTTAAATTATTATGGAAAGCAGACGATTTCTTCTACTGTTCGCGAATCTTAATCCTTGTCTGAATTCAGTTTCCTCCCCTCCCGCGCGAAGCACGAAATCTTAGACGTTTCCTTAAATTCTTAGGGAAAGCAGACGATTCGTTGTACCGTTTTCGACTCTTAATCCTTGTCTGAATTAAGTTTTCCCCCTCCCGCGCAAAGCGCGGATGGTTTGACGTTTCACATAATTATTATAGAAAGAAGACGATTCGATGTACCGTACTCGACTCTTAATCCTTGTCTGAATTCAGTTACCCCTTCCCCCCCCCCCCCCCCCCCCGCGCGAAGCGCGAAAGCTTAGATGTTTCCTTAAAATATTAGAGAAAGAAGACGATTCGTTGTACCGTTTCCGACTCTTAATCCTTGTCTGAATTCGGTTTTCTCCCTCCGACGCGAAGCGCGGAAGCTTTGACGTTTCACATAATTGTTAAAGAAAGAAGACGATTCGTTGTACCATTCGCGACACTTAACCCTAATTGTCTGAATTCGGTTTCCCCCACCCGAAGCGCGGAAGCTTTGACGTTTCCTTAAATTATGAGAGAAAGCAGACGATTCGTTGTACTGTTCTCGAATTTTAATCCTTGTCTAAATGAAGTTTCCCCCACCCGCGCAAAGCGCGGAAGCTGTCGCGTTTCATCAACATATTAGAGAAAGGAAGACGATTCGTTCTACCGTTGTTGACTCTTTATCCTTGTTTGAATTTGGTTTTTCCCAAAATTTTAAACCTCTGATTTCTTTAGCTGATATTATAGGAAAGTGAAAATTCGATAAAATACAAGTATTCTAGTTGTAGTCACTCTTGAAGTCGTCACAGCGGATAAAAGGTCACAGTTCGTATGGAAAATATGTATGGAAAACTTGTCGGCCGACCGACAATATACATCTCACCGACTTCAAACTTCTGCATTGATATAGAACAAGAGAATCGAGCAAGAATACCGACACAACTGACCCGACACAGCAATATATTTATGCGTGTCTTTCTTGCTCCCTCGACGAGACGACTTCACCCAACAACCCCTCTCTCTTTTACTCCCACTCTTCCTCTCTCTCAGGCTCTTACCTCCTCCTCTCTCTCGTCTCTGTCACCCCCGTTTCTCTTGTTTCCCTTTTCTCATTTGTTTTCCTTTTCTTTCTTTTTTCTTTCTTTCCTCTCCCTCCTTTTTCTCTTTCTTTCTTCTCTTTTCTTTCCTTTCTTTTCCTTTCTCTTTTTCTTTTCTTTCCCTTTCCCTCTCTTTTTCTTTTCTTTCCCTTTCCCCCCTGTTCCCGACGGCAGCGCAATTTTACCGACAAGTGGGGGTGTTGCACCCCCCCCCCCCTTTGGAGACGCCCCTGGGTACAATGTATGATAAATTAAACACGTGTGACAAATAAAGAATTATCTTTTACCCTTTATTGACTAATCCAATAATCCAATAGGTTCTTAAATACAAAAGATGAAAGATCAGGTCACATTATTCACAATATAAATATTAACCATTTGTAATGGACATAATATCAATTCATGTTTAAAATGTAATAGAATATCAGAAAATAGAATATGCCATGTCCTATTTACAGTTAAAACACAACTACATTATATAATTATTTTTTCACTTTTTTTCTATTTCAGTCAATTTTTTTTTTGTTTTTGTTTTTTTGTTGGGGGGGGGGAGAATCTTGCGAACCATTTGTTCATATTTCTGGCACACACTCCCACACTATCGAAGGTAAAACTAGATTTTAATCCGTCACTGTTGACGAATAAACTTTGAAGATGACTAATTTATGTCTATACAACTATTGTATTTCCGTATGTTTTGCTTTTTTTTTTTTTTATAAAGACATGATTTCACAAACAGATAGTTCTAAGGCGTAAAAATATGAGCGCCCTCTTGTCTCAAAGGCAGGAAATGATGATGTTTCATGAATGCCCAACAAAACGAACTTTTCCTCCTTTGTGTTCCTCATTATTACAGAGGCATTGTGCATAGACTCTTCAATTAGTCAACCTGAAGCGTAGATGGCTGTATTGCTATTTATTTTGAATGCATTTGCTTTTTTGCATTTTTAAGATAAATACTCACTAAAAATAGATCTAAAATACAAAAAAGACTAAATATCTTAAAATAAGATCATAATGAATTTGATAACAATATAATATGATTGATATATGCGAAAATATGCACAAATAAAAATATAAAAAGTTTTGAAAAACATTTTATACACCTTTGTTATTTCAAGTACAATTTGGTCCGTTTGTCTAATCGACTCAAATCTCATTTTGCTAAAGCTAAAACGATAAACTTAATTCAACTCAACTAACTCTACATAGTAAAAGTGCATTTGGAAATTAAACGTGAAATATACATACTCCTCAATATAAAATATATTTCTATTACCAACAGAACACTGACAATGATATTTTTACCCTACAAGTAAAAACTTCGGTGATTCATTAGTGATCACGATCTAAAAAGTCAAGAATAAAATTATATGATAATACTACTAGTGTTTTTTAAAGCACTATACTACTTTTACCCCCAATATCAGTCTCAACGTCGAGTTATGAGGAATTTGCATAATATAAATATGGCATCACGACACCCAAATGTCGCAAAAAATCCCGAATGTTTTGCGTGCATCGTATATATAAATATATATATAAAAATAGTTTTCTCAAGTCGGATACATATAAAGGTAAAATATTTAGACAAAATACATGAAAAGACACGGCTTATACTGTCAAAGGCACACTTACTCACGATCAATACAGAGGAAAAGGCTTTGAACAAAGGATGTTATGGCAACAAAAGTACTGAAGTAGATACATATGATTGTAAAACCGAAAAAGCATCAATCATGACAAACGTCTAGAATGTAAACATTTGTAGACAAATACTTTAAAGAAATCTAATAAATGAAAGTGGCACAAAAGAATTTATAGGGAACGTTATTTTGTTACTGATTACGTAAAAGCTTTGGCAAAAAAAAGGCCAGGAGGTCGAAAGCCTAAAACATTACAGAAAGCTATGCTTCATCACCGATATGATAGAAATGTGATAATGAGACACACTCGACTATATGTGCAACGTACAGACAAATATTAATTTCCTCTGCTCAACCTCCACAATGAGTACTGACTGATGGTATACAAATATTGACTGCTCATGAGGATGATGGTGGGAACTATCACTCCCAAGGTGGTGTTCACACCGGCCCTTCTATCACCCCGAGGCGAAAGCCGAGGGTGTGATAGAAGGGCCGATGTGAACACTACCGAGGGAGTGGTAGTTCCCTCCATCATCCGATTACAGAGCAGTCCATATTTGTTTTATATACCTCATCCTTTTTATTGATTCATGATTAGATCTAGATGTAGGTCTAGATCTAGCTCTAAAAAACAGGAAACGAGATCAAGAGGATTTTACTCACCAGAATAAGAAAAATCCAACATTAAGTCCAAGGCAAGAGTATTGAATTCCTACGCGCTGCGCGTAACCGCGCGATTGCGGTAGCCTAGCAACTCAAAAAAATTGTGTGCGCAACTAAGTCGCGGGAGGGGTTAGGGGTCCTATCCCAGGGTTTGATAGTAGCTATCAAACCCTCTGACGTAATGATACTTGATAGATCGAAATGCTCCTTGACATGTGATATAGTGTTGACCAATCAGTGAATGACAATCTATGTATGAGGTATATAAAGTAAATTATATACCTCATACATAGATTGTCATTCACTGATTGGTCAAAACTATATCACATGTCAAGGAGCATTTCGATCTATCAAGTATCATTACGTCAGAGGGGTTGATAGCTACTATCAAACCCTGGGATAGGACCCCTAACCCCTCCCGCGACTTAGTTGCGCACACAAATTTTTTGAGTTGCTAGGCTACCGCAATCGCGCGGTTACGCGCAGCGCGTAGGAATTCAATACTCTTGCCTTGGACTTGATGTTGGATTTTTCTTATTTGGGTTAGTAAATTCCTCTTGATCTCGTTTCCTGTTTTTAGAGCTAGATCTAGACCTACAGCTAGACCTAATCATGAATCAATAAAAAGGATGAGGTATATAAAACAAATATGGACTGCTCTGTAATCGGATGATGGTGGGAACTACCACTCCCTCGGTGGTGTTCACACCGGCCCTTCTATCACCCCCTCGGCTTCGCCTCGGGGATGATAGAAGGGCCGGTGTAAACACTACCTTGGGAGTGATATTTCCCACCATCATCCTCATGAGCAGTCAATATTTGTATACTATTTCAGTTAGACATATTTTATTGGTGCCATCACTGCACTTAATATAATTATTATGCAAGCAATTGAGAGGCAAGAGCTAAAAATTTGCAGGTATGATTTGCTGAGCAGCCATCGGTTGAATTACGTCATCAAAAGACTTGATTTTACAACACTGATTTTATTGTTGGCAATCAATTTCGGTTACAGCCCTCAATATTAAGCATGTGACTAATAATTACACTTTTGTTCGGACAACCATTTTAGATTCATAATTGTTATCGTAAAACATCGCTTCTAATTATACATCGTGTTTGTTTTTGTTTTTCTAGAAAAATTACACACATAGTAACAACATTTCAGAATAGTAAATAAAATATAAAGATAGACTACAAATCTTGAAACACCCCTAAATATTCATAAATGTTATCATTAAAACATCGCTTCTAATCATACATTTTCTTTTTTTCTAAGAAAATTACACACATAGTAATAACATTTCAGAATAGTAAACAAAAGGAATGTTACGAGTTTTATTCAATAAGAATGAATAATGGCTTCTTTTGAATCGCACATGTCCGTCACGTCTTGACGCTCTTACCGCTCCAACATTATTAACTCGGTCATAAGCTGGTGGCCAAATATGTAGCGTTCTGGCATATCGGGTACTCGTTTACACTGTGGTAGAGAGTGGCAAAATTGATTGATGTCTTGCCAAAGGACGTTAGTACCGGGCTTGGATTCGAACCCTCAACCCTTAGATTGAGAGTCAAGTGAATTAACTACTTTATCACGACATCTCCGGACATGTCTATTTATTTGGTACTTAAAAGTATGTCGGCCATTTGTAACGGGTCATGTATATTACACCTCAGTCACTACCCAAACAGATCCCCCAACAGACTCCTAATCGGGCTACACCTCAACATTTGTGAGGGTTCACAAGACCGACAGACCACTAGACCGACAGTGTCTGTTTCGTGAGCCTGCTTACCACTTTCTAGGGGGCTTACTAGTGACTAGACCGAGAGCCCACACGACTTATAGCCCCATATCACAAATATTTGTGATTGATATTTGTGTTTGCAAACATCAATCGTACGATCAATTTCAAAGCTTTGTGTTATGGGGCACTGATCGATGTTTATCTATCTTTCCTTGTCCCATTTCTTTGTTGTATCGGTCTTGTCTTATGGGCCTTTGGTCTCAATTTTTCTTGTCTATAATAATTGCTCATGTATTAATTCTGTGCATTATTAGCCTCGTTGGCTGTCGATCTAGGTTACCTTATGTAAATATCGGTTCGTGGACGTCGGTCTACCAAGAACAACCTACATCAAAATCGACCGATTTGGGGCCATTCAGGGTAATGTTTTATTTTTTAATTGTTTAATTGTCTGTCTGATGTCGTCGGTGTGAGTGCAGTTTTATTATAGGCCTATGCCTTTTGTGCAAGGCGTTATAATGTGCCTTTTTTTAGAATCAGAAGGGCGCTTTCTCTGTGTAAAAGCCTGTGATATTTTTCTGTGCTTATGCTTATTTCAGAACCTCAATCTGGAAAACTGTATAGATTTTAAATTCCCATTGCGGTTTTCTTGAACATTGGGCCACAGACGACTTCTAAGAGGCCAAAGATCAAAGTTTAGTCCGAAGTCCTCCAGTGATGTCGTTGATGACTCCCTGCTCGACAAGCTTATGAAGAAACTTCGTCTCGTGGTCGATATCGTGAGTAAACGACGACAAGATGGCTTTGGTCTTCTGCGAGCTGTAGTAGTGGATCGGGGTGTCTAGACGCTTCATGTCGTAGCCGAACCCAGCGACAGATACCTCGTCGCATACACGAATCGCCACCATGATTACCATAGCACCCGTCGTAGGTACATTCTGCAAATGGATGTCAATAAACAGGATTTGTTTTTATTTGTATTCATTTATTTATTCGGTCAAGGAGTTTTTTCTTTACATGTTTAGGATATATATTCATTTATATATTTATCTAAATGTCTTGATTGATTTATCTATTTATAATTCATTTAATCATTTTGTCATATATTCAATGGCACTGAATCAAAAATTGTACATTATAAAAAAAAACATGATGTGATTGCACTAGAACTAACTGACAAAAAAAATAATACAGGGAGAAAGAGGGTTGAAAAGGAAGGAAAGAATGGGGCGGCTGCTGTCGTTATCAATAGCAAAGCTACGGTTCCGGGGACATGGGCACTTGCTCCTAAACGAATGTCGAAGAGAAAATAAAAACAATGGATGAGGGTAAAGTTAAAGAGAGAGAAAGGGAGAGTTGATGTTTCGCAAAACCTTACAATCATGTGTTCTTGATCGTGAGTAATAAATAGTTAGATGACCATTACAGTTGTTAAGGTATAAGGCATGTACGAGGTAACAACGAAAATATTAATACGACAATCGCGGAGACTTTCGAGAAATTTATTTCAATTTTGGTAAATCTTGTGTGTAGGCATTTCGATAGATGAAGAAAAATGTTATTGAAATTGCCTTATCCTTTAGGTTGATTTCTCGAAAGTCTTTGCAATCGTGTGTAATCTCTATCATCATACATGGTTATTACCTTACTGCCTTTTCCCGACTTCATTCCAATAAGATTAAAAGAAAGCTCCGATGTGATTTCTGGATTATAGAGTCGTAAGTCTTTCCGTGGTTTGGGCACAAAATCGACGGTCGTTGACCAGAATCCTTTTAGCTTTTTCTATTTAAAGGAGAAAATTAAGTACAGATAAATGCCAATGAAACCGATCGATTTCGATTCCTTGTTCTATTACGGCAAGGCAACATCAAGGCAGAACTTAATATTGTTTGTGTGTGTAGTATGTTTTTTTTTTCATGTTTTGTTCCTGTTTTGAAAGTTGTTTTTTTCTCTTTTAGATTGGTTTGGTTTGGTTTGTCAGTTTTTTAATTATTATTTAAAGCTAATACAAAGTTTTGGGAAATTTTGAAAATTGGGTCATAGTGATTCTTTACAATTTTTGATATATTTGGATGCCCCTGTGGATGTATTATAAACACTAGCAAATTTAGACCCTAAAACACTTCTGCTTTCCAGAAAAATTGAATATAAAAAATTACCGGTGCTCCCGGTAAATTTTGATTAATTTCAAATAGCGCCTAGGACCTACAATGGCAGCTGCGACCATGAAAATCTCAGAATATGTAGTTGTGATATATAATTTCCAAACGGGAATAGCCAATCGGTCGATTTTAGTTAAGAAATATTGTTTTATAGCATAATTAATATCTTGACCTTGAGAGGGAGCGATACAGCATAAAGAGTTTATTATTTACAATTTCATAACTTTAGACTCGATTTCAACCGCGACAACGATCACTGAATATTGTAGGATTGCATATACTTCCAATATGTTCATTTGAACAAAATTCATGACCCCATATCAAAACTTTGTATTACCTTTAAGTTGTGGTCTCATTTAATTTTGTTTGTTTTGCTCGTTTGTACATTTTCAGATATTTCTATAAGTCAGGCTTATACCAAGGTGGCTTGGTATAATATGAAATGTGACAACATTTTATTCACTAAAGAATCTTTGGCCTATGTTCGTCCCCCGAAAATCATCCTGTATTTGTCATTTAGTGCAGTAAATCAGAGGAAAATACAATGCCATGCATAGAAGTTTAGGCCAACCCAGTTCGAGTCGACACAATATTGCGAAATATGTTTTGTTAGGCAAGCAACAAACAAAAGAGTGTGCACAATGTTTTGACCAAATGAAAACAAGTTGGCCAAACTCTGTGTACATATGGCTGTAGGAAAGCTCACCAAGTCGCGGCCTTCGATGATGGTATCCAACCACTTTAGGTCGTTTGCTTTGAATGGGACGACGAGCAGGGTCCAGTTTTGTGTGTAAGCTTTGGAACCGATATTCGAGCTCTCGGGATAGACCGCTCGTATAGTGGTCTTCGTACCGACGTCCGATTCGTATCCCTTGATGGGGGCAATGTTCAATCTGAAAATAAGGGTGAGGTGAATGAGCGTGACGATGGTGCTTTCTTGTCGACGTCGCGAATTGCTACATGGATTATTTTAATAGTATTTTGAAATCTAAGACAGTAACATGAACAACGCTTTAAGAAGGGACAACTTCTGGAGGCTCGGAGCAGTCATCTCCCACCATCACCATCGTCATCTTCATCACCATCATCATCATCATAATCATCATCATTATCATCATCATCATCACAACCATCAACAACATCATCATCATCATTATTTCATCATCACAATCATCATAATCATAATCATCATTATCATCATTATCACAATCATCACAACCATCAACATCATCATCATCATCATTATCATCATCATCATCATCATCATAATCATCATCATAATCATCATCATCATCATAATTATCATCATTATCACAATCATCACAACCATCAGCATCATCATCATCATCATTATCATCATCATCATCATCATCATAATCATCATCATAATCATCATCATCATCATAATTATCATCATTATCATCATTTTCATCATCATCATCATCATAATCATCATCATTATCATCATCATCATCATCATCACAACCATCAACATCATCATCATCATCATCATTATCATCATCATCATCATCATCATAATCATCATCATCATCATCATAATCATCATCATTATCATTATCATCATCATCATCATCATCATCATCATCATCCTAATCATCATCATCATCCTAATCATCATCATCATCATCATCATCACCAAAACCATGAAGATCATCATCATTATTATTCTAATTACCACTATCGTCACCTTCCTCATCATGATTATTAGTATCACTGTACCGGAGTTCTCATACTTTTTTTCTGTAATTCAATGTAAAATACAATATTTAGTATATTTCTTCCATGTATAATTATGTGGCAAATGAAGAAAGAATTAATGGATATATACAAGCGGATTAAGCGCCAGCATAGCTACCTGAATACTGCGTCGTATTGGTCGATGTGACTCCCAAGCTTTGACCCTTTTAATAAACCTCCGTTCCCGATAACAATACACCGACGACAAGGCAACCTGAAACAAGATCAAAAGATAATAGTAGGAAATATGCGATTCTTGTATAATAGTTCAAGTAGTCCATTCGCAAATAATGATGGTAATATTCCACTTTTGAATAGCGCATGTCACGTTCTATACATTTCCACAAAAGTTCGGAATTTTTTCCCGCCCATATAGTTCTGCTCCTTCAATACGTCACTCTATGGTTCAACTTTCAATTTCTTCTTTGCAGATTAATGTCTCACCAAAATTAGTGATGTGGCAGATACTATTCTGGCACGCCAATCCATGAAATTGATCTACGAACAAGGGAGACTTCCGGTGACGTAACTTATTTTACTCTGCTAGACAGGCGAAGCTGAGTAAATCACTTTCAACTAAGGATTACAGTTTTGACGATTTTTTTTTCTCTAACTATTTAAGTAAAAAAAAAAAAAAATCCCCGAATATAAGACAGAAAATAAAAAGAATTACTTTTTTATATCTGCTGGTATATCTGTGTCTGGTAGCTTTCCTACAACATCGCTTGCTGTTCTTTCTGTATGACGACAAAATTTGAGAATTATGTCATCAGACATTGAATGATACAGTTAACACAAAATAATGTTTAGGCCATGTCAAGCAGATATGCTTAAAATACCGTTTGAATTAAATTAAGAACCTTAGAAATTATCTGGTTCAGGGAAATTAAAATTAAAAATATTATCCTTCTTCAAAAAGAAAGGCATAATTCAAATTTGTAAAAGATTAATTTATATATCTTTCCGGATATCTCAATTAACACGCTGTAAGTTGATTGAAGAAAAAAAGAAATTTGAAAACCAATCTACCGAATGCTATCAAATAACATAATATACCATAACATGACATAACATTAACATAACATATTATAATATTAACATAAAATGACATAACATCACATTACTAGGCATATTATATTTTTTATAACATAATAATAATAATAATAATAATAATAATAATAATAATAATAATAATAATAATAATAATAATAATAATAATAATAATAATAATAATAATAATAATAATAATAATAATAATAATAATATAATAATAATAGCCTAATAGTCCACTCCAAATTTTATTAAACCGAAACGGAAATTCTTTTTGCCCAATTGATCGTGAGCCCGGTAGCCACTGAGCAGCGCCAGATCGACGTTGCTCTATCCCTTATTGTTGAACAAAATGTAACGTGACATGATATAAAATACCATACCAAACCATACAAATCATATCATATCATACTATTCTATACTATATCATACCATAATACATCAGTACATAACATAACATGAAATTAACGTGACATAATATACCATACCATTACATAACAAAACATAACATAGAACAATATAACAAATATAATGTGTCATGATGAAACATATCATACCAGACCATACCATAACATAACATAACGTCAGGTTTTCGTTACACTTTTTTTAATAATTATTTGATTATTGTTTTAGCTGACTGCTAACGAAGCATGTGTATGCTTGGATGTAAGTAACCAACGGACTGACGGCATTAAGTCCTCTCTGAGGGACTTGGTAATGAGGAATAATACCTTACAAAATTACACGATCACACTGCCTTGGTTTCGAACCCGGGAGACCCGAAACCACTGCTTTAACACTGAGCCATCGCATCTCCTTTGTTTGTACGACATCTTTCCTCGAATTACTTTGGTCAAAACAAAGAGTAAAATGAAAAATAAAAAGTAATAACATTAGAAGAATTCAAGAGTAATCAAACTAACCAGTTCCATGAAAACCAAAAGGAAGTGGATATTTTGTGGAGTTAGCAGACCGTATTGATGAGAGAGTCGCGAATGGGGAGAGGCTTCGATTAAACTGCCCACCAAACAAGTTCTCCATGCGATCTGCCGCCCTCTTTGGTTGACAGGTTTTTACTTCGTCTTCACGTATGATGCTGTCAGATGATGACGTGAATGAAAGAAAGAAAAACAAACAATACAAGTAAAAATCGAAAACAAAGGTAACTGGAAATGAGGCAGGCGAAAGCGATGTAAGCAAAAACAAAATAAGCGAAAACGAAGTTGTATGGTTTATCAAAATATCGCCTGAGCCTGAACCTAGCACTCCACAGATTGAATTACATCGAGTTTACATGAGTAAAAACAACTTCACGTGCACATCATTGTTGGAATGAATATGATACCAAGAGAAAACATTAATACAAATTTTAAAAAACACGTCAATTAAATGAACTAAATATTCTTAAAACAGAATCAACATTAGTTGACATCATTGCTCTGAGGGATAGGGCTAAACAAAAAAAATGAAATGATTGTTATTAGCAATGTGAATAGAGAAATGAAATATGAGAATTGCATAATCATTGTAGATTTCTTGCACCCAAAAAACGATGCATGTGGGTATTTGCTACCTTCTTAGGCAGACCTTAGGAATGTTATCAAATTAAATCATTTCGGAAGAGACAGGATGAGAAAGAGAGATGTATGTTAGTCGGTGTTGTAAGGGATATTTCGGTTCAGATTGTTCTAAAAGCACAACATTTGTCCCCGATTTCGATGCTATTCCATTGATTTAAGGTCAAACAAGGCAACCACCCCCCCCCCCCCCCCCCCCCCGTGGCCTTCATTTGGGTTAAACCAGGCATGGCTGCTACGATAGGCTTGTAAGGTCGGTGTATTTTCTGAACGAAAAAGGCTGTCTTTAAAAAAATACATATTTTTAGTTGACAGGTACAGACAATTTAATTATGGTCTTTATTTCTTTGACTAGAATATATAAAACGAATTCGTTTAAACAAATTATGGAAAATTAAACAAACAGAACTTTGTTATTCCTGGCTCATTTTCCTGATTGAGGTGTTATATAAAAGGGCAGAATATGAATTTTCTAGAAATGGGATTTTCTCTTTGAAATTCAGATACCGTTCGCCAAATGACTTTTTGGTACCCTCTCTTCAAATTGTTTTTAATCACTCATGCGTTAAATATGTATCATGTGAGTTGCATCAAATGAAAGATGACGATCTAAACTTTATACATAATTGTCATTTATTAATTATAATTGTGATTAAGTTATGATAACACATCGATAATTCTCGGTTTCGTTTTTTCTGGGACGCACTGTATATATATATATATATATATATATATACACACATATGTATATACAAATACACGATGCTTTAACAATGGATACTTTGTTGCGAATCCCGTAAATCATTGGAGATACATTTCCACCCCGAATGGCGATGTCCGACATGAGTACACCACCCCCCCCCCCCCAACAAAAAAAGAGTGCTATTTGTTTGTGGGGGGGGGGTCGGACGGGGACTTTGGGGCATCTTATCTAATATAGCTATGACGAAGTGAAGAAAATAGGGAAACATAAACTATATTTACAAGGTCTTTGTTTAACCTACCACGCTTCATTGAATGAACGTTTTATCAAATGGACTGTTAATTCTGCAGAATAGGCCGCGAAAACCTAGATTATATTTCAAACTTGTTGACAAATGATAGCGTATATGTGTAGTTTATATCAGTTTAGTTAGGTTTGCAGGAATATTTTTTATAAAATATTTCTCACATGATAGGATCATCAAGATCAATATTGTATATGATGTTTACATGCTTAAGACGTTAAAATAATCAACCACTTAGGAAGCGTGATGAAGTGGTAAGGCATTTAGATTATGAGTGCATTCCTTAACACACATCGGCGAATCGGAGGGGCGGGGGCACGTGTGTCATAAAAACGAATGTGTCCTGGTAAAAAATGTAGACTTAAAAGGTTCTATAATGTCAAACCACGTTTTATTTATTATCTTTGTTTTTGAATTTGGTGTTTTGTTCTTCTTTTTGTCATCGACAAATATAATTCTTATTTTACTAGTTCTTACATTTTTTGGACGGCAAAGATTTTTCCATTCCTACCCCAGCCCCCCCCCCCACCCCCCTGCGTACATTTCTGCGTAGGCCTACGAAATTCAATAGTGATAGCGGGATTAAGATCTTGTTCAAGAGCGTATCAGCTGCCAAATTACTACTTCCTTATTATTCAAGCTGACATAACATACATATTTTTTCTTATAACTCGTGATTTTTCAATGAAACAATATTTCGAACGAGATAGTCTGTTCAATAACAGTGATCTAAGTAGACATATCCCCAATAACATTAAAATGGAAAACAGACACGGAAATACCACCAGAGTTAATAAAACAGATTTTAAGAAAAGTGCTGCTAATTCTATTGTTTGAAATATTGTTTAAGCTTATCCGACTGCCAACAGTGATAAGGAAAGAAGAAAGCAGAATATTATACATTCAGGGAAACAACAAGAAACACAGTCGCCAAGAATTTCGAAAAGTTACCTATACGGCAATTTCAAAAGCGCTGTTTCGTCCTATAAACTAGACCATTGACTGACCTTTTTGGTGTCACTTTTCTATCTTTTGGTGACACTTTTCTATCTATGATGCTTTTATTCGAAAATATGTACTCTTGTCCTGATGCGGGAGTTACTTGCAGTACGCCTGTATAAAGAGAGGAATAAGAAGATAATTCAAAAATAATTACTAATGATTATATCTTCGATAATTTTCACGTATCAATATTTTAGGCAAGGCTCTGTTTCATAAAAACTTATAATAACACAACAGGTGTCACATTTCTACAACATATTTGCCCACAGTTAACCAAATGCAACTATTTCAGAAGCTTATAATAATTATTTTAACGTGTTATTGACATAAAGTTTTGCATATCGAGGCCCCAATTCTGTGTAATCGTATCACAGAATTAATGTATCATATTCACACATGTCAAACATTTTGAGGCGCCCTATTAAAAATAATCAAATTATTTGTAATTATTATTTTGGAGGTAACATTTGATTCGTTGTCAATACTATTATGAATCAAAATGTGCGATCAGTATGTAAAGTGGTTCAATTCCAATCATGCTACTTAAACTTGTCATCAAACTGTATTTTCTGGCGTCGATTTCTTAATATCAGGTATCCAGAGGCGACGCTCCGGGGGGGGGGGGGGGGGGGGGGGGCACTTTACCCCCCCCCCCCCCCCCTCGATCGAATGTTTGACCTTATTCCTATCATAACTTGTACTTACGTCCTTCTAGAATTCGTTTTTTGATGGTATTCAGGTTACGAAGTTTATCAACAGTTCGCTGATACTCTTTGGTTCTATCCGATATCACGGTGTTCATGATGAAGCCCATTGTAAAGACCATAGATCCGAAAAGGAGTGTTGTTCGCACGATCCTCACGTTCATCCTGCTGCGATTGTTTGCGTTTCCTTACTCCACTGCAAAGATATGGATGAAACTTTTTATCACAGCATGCACAGATAAGAAGGAATTTTGTTTCAGTCATTGATTCTAATGATATATGAATACCATGTTCAATCTCAAAGTCATAAAGAATACCTGCTTACATAATAGTAGTTGATTATTCAAAGTTGGCTTTTGCAGATTTGACACTAACGCCCTAACGGTAGTGTATTACTCACCATTTAGGGACTGCGATCCCAATCAAAGAAAACTTTTTGAAACAGAATGTACACTGATGCAGTTTATTCAGTGCGTCCCAGAAAAAAACGATACCGAGAATTATCGATGTTTTATCATAACTTAATCACAAATATTGATCCTCTTCTTTCATTTGACGCAACTCATATGATGCATATTTCACGCATAAGTGATTAAAATCTATTTGAAGAAAGAATAACAATGCCTCTTAGGCGTGAGAACTGGAGCAGAGGACTAGTGAGCAGAAAAAAAACCTAGATATCATGAGACAAGAAGTTAGTAGGCTGATCAAAATGATTAAAGTTTATCCTATAGATTAAATCAAGGTTATGTGAAAGCCTAGATACGTTGCATCATTTTAAACAATGAAGCGCTGAAGCAGGCGCGGATCCGCGGGGGGGGGGGGGCCGACGGGCCTGACGCCCCGGTCCCCCAAACAAATGACGAATTAGGCCCCCCCCCCCAAGGAAGAAAAATAGTGCTCTTACCCCCCCCCCCCCTCCCCCCCCCCCCTCCCCGCTTATTCACCGGCTGGCTAAGTCGCCGCTAAATATTTCCTGAGAAATTGGACAAGAAAAATGCAAGAAATATTGGAATATTAGAAAACACTATAATTTTCAACAACATGAACAAATTGGTAAGCATCTAATAACTTTAGCAGTCCATTTGATTATGATTAAAATTTAAGACATTTTAAGTAACAAAATAAGGGCGTTGTCATGGTAACTGAATGTAAAGTATTTATCTTTGAACCCCCAAAGGAGCAGGAGAATAAGATAACTAATCAGTACAAAATGTAAAAGGAGTAGAATAAAACAAAATATCAAATGGTACATGTTTGTTATCTAGTATTCTCAGCTATCAAAATCTGCTACTTTTGTCATAACGTTGGTGGTGGATGTGACGGCAGTGGATGTGACTACCATGGCCGTTACTAATTCGAATTTTATAAATACCACATATCTATGATTGAACAACAAATTAAAAAAACCATATAAACATCTAAGTTTGTATAATTTTAGCTTCCAGTTTGATTGCATTTCAATTTGATAAATTCCAGGTCACAATAAGTTAGAAAAATGTTATTAGTATTGAAAAAAGGTAGTATAAGAAGAAAACTATACATTATATTAATGTAACGCCAATTAGTGTCCTGCCAGTGTCACAAATACGATATAAAAATACCGGCCCCTCCACTCAGTGTTATTTAGGGTACGCATATGCATGTTCCCTCCATTTGAAAACACCCCCTAAGTCCGGTGTGTAAAGTCTTTTTTGTGTATGTACGAGCCGGACTTTGGTGCGTGAAAAGTACCCCTTTACTGGACATTTTGGTAACACGCATGGTATCTCTCCGTTCACGGAGTGGGGAGGGGGATAAAAATATGTTCATGTGACCGTAATCAAATGCCTTAAACCCCTGAGCTTCCGGGGACTACGCCCTCTCGACCCCACCAGGGCCCTAAGGCGGGCCCCTGAATGCTTATCTGACTGTAATTTATTGCCTTAAACCCCTGCGCTTCCGGGGGCGGACAAGGTATCAAAATATGTTCATCTGACCGCAGGCGCGTAGACAGGGGGGGGGGCGGTGGGGGCAGTCCCCCAAAAAAAAACGCCGGCCGAAAAAAAATAGAGAAGAGAAAAGGGAAAGGACGTAGGAAAAAAAGGAGCAGACAAAGAACATTTTCGAAATTCAGACAAGGATTAAGAGTCGAGAACGGTACAACGAATCGTCTTCTTTCTCTAATACTTTAATGAAACGTAAAAGCTTCTGCGCTTCGCGCAGGAGGGGGTGTAACTGAATTCAGACAAGGATTAAGAGTCGAGAATGGTATTACGAATCGTCTTCTTTCTCTAATAATTTAATGAAACGTCAAAGCTTCCGCGCTTCGCGGAGGAGGGAGGGAGGGGAAAACTCGATCCCTGCACCCCCCCCCCCCTTTACGTCACTGCTGATCACCATTAAGTACCAATATTTGGCTCGCATAATTTCAAATTTGGGCCCCCCCCCCCCCAAGAAATCCTGGATCCGCGCCTGAGTGGCTGTACCATCTCAAATAATGATATGAAAATAAATGCATATTCTATGGACGCGCCGACCCATGTCCTTGCCCCTCCCCCAATTTATAAAATCAATAGACGCCCCAAAAGTGACAAAAGTTCTTTGATAATTTACTTTGAACTGTGTCGAGGAGTTGTGTACTAGACTTTTAAAATGTGGTTACATGAAAATGATACATTACATAATCTGAGCATGATTTATATAGGCAGTACTTTACGAGTTTTCGGCTTGTGAGGCCTTCTTCAGGTTCTGAAGTGCAAACACATACAAAAACAAATACATTGTATGAACAAATATGCTTGACTATGATTGAGTGATATTAAGTTTGTATGCCATGCATATTTGTTCATCCAATGTACACTTCAGAACCTGAAGAAGGCCTAACAAGCCGAAAACTCGTAATAAAATTGTAAATTACAACTACGTCTCACGTTCCTAGACCATTTTCCATATTCAGGAACACCCGTTGTCATGTCAGAGTTGAGAATTCTCGCACTTATATATATATATATATATATATATATATATATCTTATTCCCTACTTTTCCCCTCTCTCTCTTTCTCTCTCTCTCTCTCTCTCTCTCTCCCCACCCCCCTCTCTCTCTCTCTCTCTCTTTCTCTCTCTCTCCCTGTCCCTCTCTCTCTCTCTATTTACACCCACGCCCACACTCACATGCACATGATAAAAAATGACAATCAAATCCAAATCAAAAGGTATTTGAATATGGACCTAGGTCCATGATTTGGCGAAAGGAGTACGTCACTGAGCGGCGAATGCTTACAAACATTGGGAATTGTTGGCAGTTGGTGCCAATATTTGTGAATATTTGGGACTTTTTACGAACCCTGGCAAAACCCCAAGTTCGTTACATTCGCAAGCATTCGTGAAATACCCCCTTTATATGTTTTCCCCTTGCAGTTATACAAAGGGGTCATGCTTCGGCCATTTAAACTTTAATATATCACTTTAAAAAAATCAGCCGAACCAATGCAATACATTGTTCTCCAGCAAAATAATTGATATTACGTACAAATGCAAAAGAAAAGAACAGAAGAGTGGAAAAGGGTAAAGAAGTAGAAATATAAATTCATAGAAAAGAACGGACCATGGCGGTCTCGTGAAAACCTTTGGAAGGTGACAAGAATGCAAACGAGACCTATACACTGTCGGTCTAGTGGGCTGTCCGTCTCGTGTTGCTTGCATAGTCAACCCCTCCCCCTCAACAAAAAAGTGAAATCTACCTACCGATAATTATAGTAAGCGATTTTTGAACCCCCGTTTTTTTGTTGTTGATATTATAGGTTAACAATGACAATGACATTTGACAATGATTTTTAATGATTGCTGGTAAAACTTCGAGAAAATACAAGTTTTTTAGTTGTAGTGTCTCTCGTAGTCGTCACATCGGATAAAGAGTCACGGTTCGTATAAGAAAAAATATTGGCCGGCCGACCGACATTATACATGTATCTCACCGAGTTCAAACTTCTGCGTTGATATAGTACCCGAGGATCGAGTGAGAATACTGACAAAGCTGACCCGACAAAGCAACATATCTATGCATTTCTTTCTTGCTCCCTCAACGAGACGAATCCACCCCCCCTCTCTCTCTCTTACTCCCACACCTCCTCTCTCATGCTCGTACCCCCTCTCTCTCTCTCTCTCTCTCTCTCTTTCTCCTCTCTTTCATTTGTTTCATTTTCTCTCTTTTTTGTCCTCTTTTGGTCCTTTTCTCCTTTTCTTTCTTCTCTTCTCTTTCCTTTCTTTCTTTTCATTTCCTTTTGTTCTTTTATTTTCTTTCCCTCCCCCATATCTCATTTTTCATGACGGCAGCGCAATTTTACCAACAATATCCTGGTACATGTAGGTGGGGGTGTCGCACCCCCCCCCCCCCCCGTTACCGACGCCCCTGTCTTCGAAAGGTCTCAAAGTAATGGCAAGACGATTATTACTGGTCATGCCCGTTTAAACATGAGCCTAGTTAAAACAGGATATGAAACCTCAAATTTCAAGGTACTTTAGTATCAATGACATTTTGTTTAATTTTCACACACGCTTATATTATGTTACCCTCTATAAAAACAACAATGTTTATGTACACAATACAGTTCACAACTAAATTTCTGCATACCCTTTTTAAATTCGATGTTTTTGTGTTTTTTCGTCACTCAAGATTTGAAAGGTGAACCGGTTGAATTGGGGGTGACACGACATTTGCTCCTGCGACAATTGCTCCGGGCTTTATTTCGTCTAAGATGTAGGGTTAGGGTTAGGGTTTCAATAGGGTTTTATGTTAGGTTTAGGGTTAGGTTTAGGGTAGGGTATAGTGTTGAATCCAGGGTTGAAGTTAGCCATTCGATTAGTGTATGAAATTTACAGCGGAGCAATTGTCGCCGGAGCAAATGTCATGGAACCGAATTGGGACCTTTGTTGAATCCCTTTAGTTGTGACCTTGAATATGTCACATTTTCAAGAAACATTAATGGGGACACGTCAATTTTTCACATGCTTAGAAAATTACAAACTTGTTAAGGGTATAAATAATTTAGTTGTTAACTCAATTTAATCTCTCTGAAGTTTGATTAGGTGTTTTTCCCTTGCAGTTACAAAGGGCTCATGCTTCGCTCATTTATGCAATAATATATCGCCGTATATAAAAGATCAGTTGAGCCCATGCAATAGATTATTCTCCAGCAAAATAATTGAAATTACTT